GTGTTGATGATGGTGATGGTGATGGTGATGATGATGATGGTGATGGTGATGGTGATGATGGTGATGATGATGATGGTGATGGTGGTGGTGATGATGATGGTGATGGTGGTGATGATGTTAATGGTGATGATGCTGATGATGTTGGTGATGGTGATGATGATGGTGATGATGGTGGTGATGATGGTGATTGTGATGATGGTGATGGTGATGGTGATGATGTTGGTGATGATGGTGGTGATGATGGTGATGGTGATGATGATGGTGGTGATGATGATAGTGGTGATGATGGTGATGGTGGTGACGGTGGTGATGATGATGGTGGTGACGGTGGTGATGCTGATGGTGGTGATGGTGGTGATGGTGTTGATGATGGTGATGGTGATGATGGTGATGTTGTTGACGATGGTGATGGTGGTGCAGAAGAGATGAGAAGAATCACAAGGATGATGGACAAGTGACTTAAGCCTTAGAGAAGCAACTGGCATCCTCCGTGTGAGGAGGCTAGACAGGGAGGAGGTGACGAGAGACCCCAGCCCTGGGGGCAGAAGGAAATGTTTCCCTCTTCTCCAGCCTGGACTCTGCCCCTGGAGCCAGCACTGCCCCAGCGGGCACCAGGGTCACCCTGGCCACAGCAACAGCTCCCTTCTCTGACACGGAACTAATCCTCAAGCCCAAATCTCCCTCCATGTGTAAACACCAGTGTTTAAGCAGCGCTGGACAGTCTGTGGCAGCCTGGCCAGGGCCCCTGCAGGCAGACGTGCTGTCAGGAGGCGAGTCCAGCTTCCCTCGGGGGGACGGACCCTCTCCCAGCCTAGCCTCAGCACCAGGACTGATGGGCAGGTAGTTCATGCCTTGTCCCAGGAGGGAGAGCAGGTTGGTTTCTCTTCTGCTTCCCGTAAACCCAAGCGGTACATTGATGGTCCCCACTTGTCTATTTCCGTCTGGCTGTGTGATCTTGGGAAGATCACTTAACCTCTCTGTCTCTGTTCTTTCATTCATAAAATGAATCCTCGTGGGCTGAAGTGAAGACTGAATAAGAGGATATACATTGAGTGAGTGGGATGTAGTCTGCGTTCAAGAAACGATAACTGTTAGTATGTACATTTTCTCTCCCTCTAGAAGGGAGAGAAGGACAGGATGATCCCCACCTGATCCCCAACCACATTCTCAGCACACAAACCAGGGCCTGGGACATCCAAGATGCTCTCCGGAGCTGCGGACAGCGTGGCTGTCCCAAGCCCCTGGGCTCTTCCAGCTGCTGCAGAGCAGAGGTGACAGGTGACTCCACCCTGGTCAGGAGGGCACAGCCACCCTGAGCCTGGGCAGGCCCCTTGGAGCTGCCAAGCTCAGAACCCAGTGAGCTGGTCCTTGTAGGCCATGACCCTTGTCACCTCCCCCCCTGCCCAAAGGTGGGTGTTGCTAAAACAGTTGGGGGAAATGGGGTCCCGGGCCTTGGTCGCTGTCCTTGGTGCTGAAGTCCCTTTGCTTTCCTGGACACAGCTTCTCCTTAGCCCGGGGGTGCCCCGCCCACCTGTCCACCAAACCCCAGAAGAGAGGCAGAGGGTAAGACTCCCACCTGGCGCAGGAGCACGTGCGGGCCGGGGGTCCACGGAGCGCTCACCTGCGCTGGGCGACCCGCCAGGCCCCACCCCACCGTCCCCGCCCCACAGTCTCATTACGACCTTCGCCCCTGACCTTGGGGTGGGCCCTCTGCAGTCACCCCTCTCTGCATGAGATCCTGAAGCAGCTCACAGCTAAGGGCTCCGAGGTCAGCAGCCCGGGAGTCCCTGGTTACCGAGGTGTCCCTGTTCATGTCACCGGCTGATCTCCCACCTCGTGAGTCTCCATGCTTCATTCTGTGGCTTCATTTTTTTCCACCAAAATGCGTAGGCCGTGCTGGTGCCGGACAGGAAAACAGGAGAACAGGGGACTTTCCCCAAGGCGGTGTGACTTTGTGCCTCTCATCCGCTCTCCCTAGGGCTCGGGTTTGGTTTGGTTTTCGTTTGTGGAATTAGTCGCATTGGTTGGTGGCCGCGTTGGTTCCGTCGCTGTGACACGACCTGGGAAAATCAGCTTAAAGAGAGGGAAGATTTACTTTGGCTCCTGGGCTCAGAGGTTCTGGTCCACGGTCAGCTGGCTCCGGGGGAGGTAGGGGTCGTGCTGGGGCAGAGCTGCTCAGCTCTCGGCGGCCAGGCAGCACGAGGGACAGGGGAAGGGACCAGGCTGGGGCTCCAATGTCCCCTTCACGGGATGCCACGAGAGCCCAGGATGTAAAGCCGAGTGCGAAGGGTTCCAAGCTGTCCCCCTTACTCGCTGCCCGTTCTGAAGACAGGTCTCACAAGGCCATCGGAAAAGCCTCTTCCAAAACCCACAAGGAAACCTGTCTCTAGCTTCTCTCTCACCTCGGAGCACCGTCTTTGGGAGGCAGACGTCCCCAGATTCTTTATGTCTATTCTACTGGAGGGACCCTGGCGAATGGGGACAGGGAAGGATGGCAGGGTCCTTCGGAGTCTGCGCTGGATTCAGCCACACCTGGATTCAGGTCCAAGACTGGCTGCTGTGCCACTCGGGGGAAATTACTTAACCTCTCTGAGATTCAGTTCTTTTGTTTGCTGAGCGCGTTAGGAGGCTCTGATACCTGGCTAACTCGTGTCTGTTGGTGGTCCAGCTGCTGTGGCTGTTCCCCTTCCCTTTATTCACTCATCAATAAGTATTACTTGAGCATCTCAAAGACGCTCCTCACTGTTCTGGGTGTTAGGGACACAGCCCTGAACAAACACAGATTCAAAATCTCTGCCGTCTGAGGGCTCATGTCTAGTGAGTAGACATGGACAATGAACCCAGACCTGGATGCTGTTCTAGAAAGTTAGAAGTGATGGGATAAGAACGTTAAGCATGAACGAGCGTCCGAGACGCAGGGGTGGGAGAGACGTCACCATCACCTGGCTGCTTGGGTGGGTGGCAATGGTCACACTTTGCAAGGTCCTTGGAGAACCATCGGCACTTCATCCGGGAACTGTCCGGCTTCATGGGGTCGTCTTACGTGAGAGCAGGATCAGGACCCACCACTTGTGCCTGGTGTCTGCCCTGCCATGATGCCCCCTGTCGTTCTATTTACCCCCAAGGTAGCCATGGCAATGGGAAATGAAAGGTCCCCTTCTGTGCACTGGGCCTGGGCTGCCTCCCCAGGGGACGTGAAGCAGCATCTATGAGGCGCACCCCAGGGGCATCCCTACGGACTTGTCTTGCTCTCCAGCACCTTCTTTCCAAGTTCTGGATGTTTCCTGCAAAAGGCAGGAAAATAAAGCCTCTCCCAGCCCAGACAGCTGGTTCCTCTCTCCAGGTCGGTACCCTGGCTCCGGGCCTCTGCCACCTTCTTCCGGGCCAAAAGAAAGTCTTTGGTAGTCCCTGTGACCCCAGAAACTTATCCGAGATCTGGGGAATTGGCTGTCTCTATTTATTCATAATTAACCAAAGCCTATATTTGCAGCTCATCAGCTTTTGAATTCAGTAAATAAAGAGACCAATCTCCCGATGCCATGAATATTTCATTTTGGAGATGACTGCATGAATATTGTATTTGGATATTATGGCCTGGGACGTCACATTAAAATTGCAAGGCAATGACATTATCCCATATAATGGAACATGAAATTAAAAAGCTGCGCTCCGGAAGGAGCAAATTACTAGAAAAGTTTCTATCTCTTCCCTACAGGAATCCTGCCCTTCCTCCCTCCCCCACTCCTCCTCTTCCTCCTTCTCCTCCTCCTCCTTCCTCCTTCTTCCCTCTTTCTCACAGTATGATTTCCGTGTAAGTTTTCATGCAAGTCATCTAAAATCTAAAGTTTGCAACACAGTTCCGTGCACCCACCGGGCATTATTGCAACCTCAGCACCAGTCAGAGCTGAGGTAGGATCTCCCTTTCCTAAACTCGGGGCTTGCTTGAAAGCCCAGTTGTGTCTCCACGCGCTGATACCGTGTCCATAATGAAAAACCCTCACCAAGTCCCTCCCCAGCAAGAACCTGGCTTTGCTAATGAGCTTCATTTTGCATGCGGAAGATGCCCTGGGTAAGAATGAGACCAGGAGGTTGGATACCTGGGCCTTCCAGATGGTTCTGCCCTGGGGCTGAGTCCTCTGTGCATCCTTGGAAAAGTCCTCACCTTCTCTGGGCTTCTCTGTCCGCATATGGAAGGTGACACCTGCCCCACACCCTCTTCTGGGTGTAACAGTGACTTGCAGCTGTAACCCTGGCCGGGTCCTATGGTCAGAATTCAGCCTAGAGAGGTTTTCTTTACCCTTTTTCTTCAAGGCATGTGAGTGCCTCTCGGAACGCGCGCTTTCTACCCCTCTGTGCTGGGAACCGTGGCTCGGGTCCTCTGAGCAGTTACTCCTTTCTGGCCAATCGCTGCCGGCATCTAACTTCAAATCCAGATCTAGCCCACCTTTGCAATTATGCCAAGAGGAAAGCTGAGACCCAGGGAGGATGCCTCACCCAGCTGGGAGGGAGGTTTTCAGGCTGGTGTGCACCGGGGGCTGGGGTGCACCGGGGGCTGGGGTGCACCGGGGGCTGGGGCGGAGGAACGGGAGGGGGCGCTCAGAAGGGGCGTTGCTGACATGGACTAGAGCAGCCAGGTTCCCGGATGGGGGGGGGGGGCCCCGCGGGCTGGAGAAGCAGAGGTTCCCGGGACAGGAGACCTCTGGGCTATAAGAGCCCAACCTAAGGTCTCCTTGGTGCCGGGCAGGTACCCTGAGCTCTCTGCGCCTCGGTGGCCGCAGACGTGAAGTGGGGCCACCCAGGAACCTGCCTCACGGGAGCGCGCCCCGCTTCCCGGCGAGGCCAAGACGCGAACTGCACACTGACCCTGGTTCTGCGCCTGGAGCTCAAGATGTGCCCGAAAAGTGCTGCTGTTGCCATGAGGGTTTTTGTTGGTTTGTTTGCACCTGGGCTCTGGGTGGACCAGGGCACCTTGGGGCTCAGGGCCACCTCGTCTCACCCAGGTTCATCCGGAAACAAGGCCTGGACCGGCTCTTCCTGGAGTGCGACGCGCACATGTGGCGCCTGGGGGATCGCAGGATCCCCGAGGGCATCTCGGTGGACGGCGGCTCCGATTGGTTCCTGCTGAACCGGAAGTTTGTGGAGTACGTGACGTTCTCCACGGACGATCTGGTGACCAAGATGAAACAGTTCTATGCCTACACGCTGCTTCCCGCGGAGGTGAGCGCAGGAAAACTTCCCCGGGGTTGGGGGGGGGATGGGGGCTCTAGCCACGGGCTGCAGTGCTGGTCCCCAAACTGAGCTGAGGACGGGGAGCCGCACCAACCCTGGGGCCCTTGCAGTGGCAGAGCCTCCGGTCACACCTCCAGTTTGCACCAAGGCTATAGGAATGGGACGCTCGGGGTCTCCACCATCCTGCATGTGCCTCTGCAAAAGGTAGAAAATGGAGCGCTCGCTGGGCATTTGGCCCCTATGGAGTATAAAAACATCCCAATGTACTGATTTTGTTAGAACAAGGCACTTTTCTGCTGTTTTCCAGAAAATGTTGTGAAAAAAATTACAAATCTCTGATATCTACCAGATTAATCCCCCGCACCCCATGTTGGGCAGTGCATAACCTGTACAACTGGGTAGCCTCGACCTTTCAGGACATACCCACATTGACTTCGGAGTGACCTCTGCAGTCACCAGTGCAGTAGTAACCACCTTTTTGACACCCAAGAATTCCTTTTCTTCTTTGAATATAGCTCTGTCACTCCCCGATAGAAAATAGTGTCGGCTTCATTGGTCAGATCTCAGAAATACAAGAGATCCCAGGGTCGGCCAGCCAGGGACCCCTACACTAGCCCCTGTGGCCACCTGCCTAGGGCTCAGCATTTCCCCATTAGGGGTATCTGAACAGCCCCAGGATCCTGAAACCTCTTTTCAGACTTCAGGGGGCAGGAAGCCCTGCGGTGTAAACTTGCCGAGCCCAGACCCTCCGGACATGGGTGGGATCCAGTTCAGGAGTACTGTCACTCTCAGGCCATCAGCCTTGTAGATCTGGGCTCCGGTTGGGGGCAGGGCCAGTGTCCAGCTCCAGGGAGGGCTGACTGCCCATGTCCCTCCACAGAGACCATGAGCTTGTCGTCACTGGGCCAGCCATGACGTGTTAAGTCGTCAGCTTTTAATCCTATTTCAGTGAAAAGCACCTTTTCTCCCCACTCCGGCCACCTCTTCATCCATTATCTTGCAGAGAGTTTTAAAAGGTCCCAGGGCAATGGGCAGTTGGTCCTCCGCCCAGGCTTGATGGAGGACAGGTGTCTCTGTGGGCTTCTAGAGGAGCCAAGCTTAAAGCCAGGTTCTCGGGTGTGTCCTTCCGCATCAAAGGACGGCCACCTACCCGCTTGGAAGAGATCCTCCCAGAGCTCGGGTGGCCTCCACCAGCTGCCGGGAGTGGGGGGGTGGCCCTCACTGCCCCCACGCAGGGCACCCCTCCTCTTCCATTCCTGCGTCTCAGCTGCGCCCTCCCTTCTCCTAGACACCTCCTGGGGACTGGCTGAGAAGAAGTCTGCAGGCTGTGCCCATACGTTTGTGACAGGCAGACACAGATGGCCCCACGGCTTCCCTTAGGGACCAGAGAGCCGGGGAGTGCGTTCTGGTAGCTGCGATGGTTACAAAGAGAGTGGAAATGGGAACTGTCCCTTTGTCTCGGGCTGAAATTCCAGCGCACATGTCCTTGGTACCGAGCTATCTCAGACCTGAAGCCTGTCGCTTTCAAATCCGGCCCTTTAAACAGTAAGAGCCCCTCTTGGCTCAAATTTCCCTGAAAATTGTCCCCGTTCTGGCCTTTGCCCTTCCCTGTCGGCTGAGCTCGCTGCAGGTACCTGGGGCGGTGGGCTGTCTTGAAATCAGGTGGAGCCCTGGGGGAGACAGCGCTGGGGTGGGGGGACACTTCTAGGTAGAATCCAGCCACCGAGTTGACAGGCCTGGCAGCTGTCCCCAAGACTCTCCAGGAGCGCTCCTTGCTGCTGGAGGGCCTCGCGGGCCACGTGGGGGAGGCCGGGAGGGCTGAGCTGGGCTCCTGTCTCCCCACAGTCCTTCTTCCACACGGTCCTGGAGAACAGCCCCCACTGTGACACCATGGTGGACAACAACCTGCGGGTCACCAACTGGAACCGCAAGCTGGGCTGCAAGTGCCAGTACAAGCACATTGTGGACTGGTGCGGCTGCTCCCCCAACGACTTCAAGCCCCAGGACTTCCACCGCTTCCAGGTGAGCCCCGCCCAGACCTCAGGCCCTGCCCACCAGGACCTCCAGGCCTCCAAGGAGCCCGAGGCCGCCCCACCCCTCCATGCCCTGCCCCGGGACTGATGGTCACAGCAGCCCCGTCAAGAAAAGAGCCAGCACTAACTGAGCACTTACTGCATACACACGGGGACTGGTCTAACCATTCTGATGAATCCACTCATTAAACCCCCGCAAAACACATGACAGGGTTTCCTGTTATAGACAAACTGAGGCACAGAAACGTTCAAGGTCAGACAGCCCACGGTATCTGTCCCCAGGGGCCATTCTCGTCCTCTTGTCTGCACTACCTTTCGGGCACAATGCCCTGGAAGGTTATTAAAAACGTTATCTCTGAACAGGAACTTGAACTTAGAGAGGGCCGAGGTTTAAGGCAGGCTTGACACTGTGCCTGGATCCTTCTGCGTTGTACCCTGGGGGTGTTTAGCAGCTGTCCCTGGCCTCCTCCACACACTAGATGTACCTTCCAGCCGTGACAGTCCCCAAATGCCCCCAAACATTGCCACATGTCCCCTGGAGCCAAACTCGCCCCTGCTTGAGAACCGCCACTCTCCACCGAGGTCCAGAAACGTGTGTCTCTGTTGCATTACACTTTGGAAAAATCCGACGCGCGGCCAGGTTTGGAAACCACCCTGCTCCGTGAACTTGAAGGTAGAAATGTCATTACCTTCACAGCTGTCTCCGCGCAGCCCAGCAATTTACAGTTCTGGGGACGGCAGAGGCAGGAGCGAGGTCACTGCTCTTCTGCTTGCTATGAGCCTGGGGGAGGGCTCCTCAGCTCCACTCCTGCCCAGGGGAAGCTCTTCCCATCCCTGGTGTGGCTGGGAAGTGTGGCCGGGAAGTGTGGCCGGGAAGTGTGGCAGGGAAGGGTGGCAGGAAGTGTGGCTGGGAAGGGTGGCAGGAAGTGTGGCTGGGAAGGGATGGGGCTCTGCAATTTCTTCCTCCCCTCCTTCCCCTGACCACAGCTAGGCCCAAGCTGCAGCCTGCACAAACTGAGCACCATGAAATGTTCAACCAAACCAGACCAAGGTCCCTAGAGCCACCCCGTGGTGATGGCTTGGGGCTTCCCAAACTGCCAACTTGGAGGGACCACGGGGACAATTGGTAGAAGAGAGCCAGGCTGTAACCCCGCCAAGGTGTCCCTGCTGAAGTGTCCAGGGGAGGACATGCCCTGCCCGCCTGGTTCTTTAGAGCAGGGCCGCGGCCCTCGGGCACTGCTATCCCCAGCAGCTCAGATTGCAGAAGCTCCTGAGGACCAGCGGGGACCCCTGGAAAGGTCCTTGTGACCCGGGTGCTCTCATGTGGATCTGCCTGTGCCAGGGATGTCCTCAAACCCTGGTTAATTAGGCCAGAACCCGGATGATGTCCTGACTCTGCCCTGTCCGTGCAGAAAGGACCTGCCACTGCCCCGGCTGCAGAGAGCCATCACCATCTGAGAAAGTGGCCTGTGGCTCGGCTCCCCCAGCCCCCGCGTCCGGGGCCACAGGGGTCCCTGATGGAGCCTGGCTACCTTAGTGAGCACCCCAGCTCTGTCCTTCCCCGTCAACAAAGATCCACCGTAGAACCCAGGACCGCTGCCTGGGAGGAACTCGGAGCTCTTGTTCAAAGAGGACGATAAATATAGAAACGTGCCCTTTCCCGAGAGCAGGCTGTGGCCAGAGAATGGCAGGAGGAGAAAGAAGCCTGTCCAGCCGCTAAGACTGGTCTTCGCCCTCCAGAAAATGAGGACTGACGGCCCCCGGGGAGACAGGCCCCAGTTGCAAGCGGAAGTGGTCATGATAGTCACGTAGCCAGAGCAGCCAACGGCCTGGCTGATAACCCATGTGGCTGTACCCATTTTAAGGATGAGGAAGCCGGGGGCAGGGGGAGTTGGGGGGGTCACCAGTTGACTCAATCAGCTCGATCGTAGAGTGACGGGGTTCTGGAGATACTGGACCTGGGGACAAGCCAGGGATTCCAGGCCGTGACATCAATGCAGCGCCTGCCTGTAGGACGTGCTTACTGGTCACTGTGGTCATTATTGTTACTATTCGTGCACAGCCGTGCTAGACCCAAAGTTAGGTCCTCGAGGGACAGGGCTATTTTTTATTTGCTTCTGCAGCCCTAGTCAGCCAACTGCCCCCCCCCTCTGACCTCAGCTCTGGCCAAGAAGTTTCCCTGGCTCACAGCCACACCCATGATCTACAGCTTTGCCCCTGGCTGTCTCTATGCTGCAAAGGCAGAGTGAGCGTTCTCAAAGCTGTGTGCATTTACTCTCTGACCCTTTCTTGAAAATGTTTTCCCATCTCGGCCCTAGACGGGTATCGAGGCTGGCTTGTGACTTCCCAAACTGCCAACTTGGATGGACCATGGGGACAATTGATAGAAGAGAGCCAGGCTGTAACCCAGCCAAGGTGTCCCTGCATCTCTTTAACCCTGGACCCTGCATCTTCTACTGATGGGCTGTGTGTCCTGGGATAGAGTCCCTGCCCCTCTCTGGGCCTCTTTCATCGAGGGCTCAGTTTACATCAGTGGCCCTCACCCCTCAACCCCGCGTCAACATCGCCAAGGAGCTTTTCTTTTGGATACATAAAAATAACAGTCTCTCAGCCCCACTCCTGAAGGTCCTGATCCACGACTCTGGAGCGTGCCTTGTGAGTCTGCGAGCCAGTCCAAGTGCCAGGGAGGCACTAGGGAGTGGTGGGGCCTGCGGCAGGCTGAGGAGCCCCATGTCCATTCAGCGCTCGATGGTTGCTCCCATGTAGGATGTGGGCCTGAGGCTGCGGGTCTATTGCTGTTTTCTGTTTCCATGAATCTCGCCTTTTTAAACGCTGCCAGCTAATTCAATTTTAAAATGTTCTGTTGGGCAACCGAAATACATCTGCAGGCTATATTTGCCCTGGACAACTGGTCTGTGACCTCAGCTAAATGATTTCTGAGCTCCAGCCCAGCCAGAAACACCCAGGATTGAATTTATTTAACAGTCACTGAAACCATACATACTAAGTGTCCGTCATTGCTTTGCCCATATTAACCCACTCATTCAGGGGTGCACATCCTCCTTCTTTTTTCAAACTTTACTTTATGATGATTGCTCAGTCATTAATTAGACAGATGAATGGGTTTCAAGGTGACCGGTCCATAATGCATGTCCCTCATAACCCCCTGGCCCTCCCCTCCCCCACTCCCCCACGCCCCTTCTTTATCCCTAGTAGTTGATCTTATCTTTTCTAGTGGCACCTTTTCGTTTCCACATAGGAGAGAAAACACGCGGCACTTAACCTTTCTCTGTCTGACTGATTTTATTCAACATGTTGGCCTCTGGTTCCATCCATTTTTGTGCAAATGACATTTGCATTAACATTATTAATGGTCAAATAAAATTCTATTGTGTCTATATACATTTTTTTTTAACCCATTCATCCGTTGATGGGCATCTAGGCTGAGCCATACCTTGGCCGTTGGGAGATTGACACAGTAAACACAGTATACAGGTGTCTCTTGCTTACCAACTTCCTTTCCTTCAGGAGTGTCCCCAGAAGGAGCTCCAATTGTAGATCTGGTTTTCGATTTTTCATAGATGTTTTACCCCCCATCACCTGTGTGACTTTTTTTGCAGGGAAGTGTTACTTTTCCCCCACATCTTCCTCGGGCCTTTGTTATTTGTTGGTTTGGGTTTTTGTCTTGATAGTAGCCCTTTGGCCTGGGGTGAGATGGCATCTCCGGGAAGTTTTAATGAGCATTTCCCTGAGGGCTGCGGGTGTTGAGAGTGTTCTCCTGTATGTATTGGCCATTTGTATTTCCGCTTTTGAGAAGTGTCCCTTCAGATCGGCTGCCCGGTTATTGACTGGCTGCTTTGTTCCCTTGTTATCTTTGGGGGGTTATTTGTATACCCTGGATGTTCATCCTCTGTCCGATGAATGGCTGGCAAAGATTTCTCTCCCTTTCCGGAACTGAATCTTCGCTCTGTTGACTGCTTCCTTCGCTGGGCGCAAGCCTTATAATTCGAGGTAATCCCATTTGTCGATTTTCGCTCCTGTTGCCTGAGCTGTTGGAGTCCTGTGCAGGAAATCGTCGCTGTGCCGATGTCTTGAAGCGTTCCCCTGTTTTGCTCCGGGTGGTTTCGGCTCCTCAGGTCTTGCAGGAAGCTCTTTGATCTGTTTGGAGGTGGTTTGTGTGCAGGGTGCACGAGAGAGAGCGATCCTCGTTTGCGTCTTCTCTACCTGGATGGCTTGGCCCAGCCCCTCTCACGCTCCATTCTGACCCATGTTCCAGAGAGGCCATGCCGTGTCAGAGCTGGGGCCTGGGCCAGCCCTGCTCCTGACCGCGGGGTGCAGCCTGAGGTCCCCGCAGTCGCGGGCTGATGCGGTTTTCTCCCTTCCTCTCGGAGCGCAGCAGACGGCGCGGCCCACCTTCTTCGCGCGCAAGTTCGAGGCGGTGGTGAACCAGGAGATCATCGGGCAGCTGGACTACTACCTGTACGGGAACTACCCGGCGGGCACCCCGGGCCTGCGCGCCTACTGGGAGAACGTGTACGAGGAGCCCGACGGCGTGCACAGCCTGAGCGACGTGGCGCTGTCGCTGTACCACGCCTTCGCCCGCCTGGGGCTGCGCAGGGCCGAGGGCTCGCTGCACACGGACGGCGAGAACAGCTGCCGGTGAGTGGCCGGCGGCGCTGGGGGGCTGGGGTGGCTGGGTCTGGGGGTGCCCGAGGTTGGGGGGTACTGGGGGGTGGGAGTGGAAGCCCCAAGCTGCAGATCTGGGTACCCCCTCTTCCAGGGCTGCACCCGCACCCCGCACTTGGTCTCTTCCTGTGTCCCCCAGTGATGTCGCAGCCTGGGGGGCTTCCAGCTGAGCCGAGGTCACCCTCCCTGCTTGACTTTCCTCTTTGTCAGGATGCTGGTCTAAGTTGACTGTGGGTGGCCTTGGGTCCTCTCCTCCATGTATCTTAGAGGGAGGCTTTATGTCCACATTGTGTTCCTCTTGAATGGAAGGTCACCGTGACAAAGTACAAATTTTTTTTTTTGTACTTTTCATGATGGAAAGTGTGGGACATGCGCAAAATAGGAGAGTGGGACCCCGTGCTCCCCTCCGCCAGCCCAGCGCATAACCAACCAGCTCCACAGCCTGAAGGCACCTGAGCCTCCTTGTCGCCTCCTCCCAGAGGAGTTTGAAGCAAACCTCCGACGTCCTTTCGTTTCAGCCTCAAATGTTCAAATATCTGTCCCGGTCTCCAATCGCTCTCCTTCCCTTGTTTACCTCCTCCCCCTGCCTCCTTTGAACAGCGTAGCAACAACAAAAATGCATACTGAGCCTCCATCCCTTGTCTCAGCTCCTTCCTCTTTGCCCTGCCCTCCCCTTTTCTCAGGGAGGGTGGAAAGGGACTATTCTGTCCCCTAAACCCTGTCAGTACACACAGGGTTCCTGCCTGCTTCTGTGCAGAGCCAGCCCGGTTTCTGCCAACCTGCCAGCATTTCCATTCCCTCCTTATTTCTCTGAGCCTTCCCTTTCCTTTCTGTCTCCCTGTGGGGTTTGGTTTAAAGGGAGACCGGCATGGGTTAGGAGCCCAGGACCTGCACTGTGAACTCACCTTTATTTACTAGCTGTTGACCTCAGGCAAGTCATGAACCTCTCTGACCCTCAGTGTCTTCTTCTGTACAATGAGAATCATCATCATCATTCCCCAGATGGTATTGTGACGTTTAAAGTAGAAAATGATTGAAAACCCACCTCACGAGCGACAGCATATTGTCTTAGGTCGACAGGTTCACATACGAGATGCTCACTCCTGTTCCTGGCTGCTGTTCTAGGTGCCCTTATGTCAAGCAGTGGAAATTGGTCAGCCTGACCCTGCTGTGTGGTGTGCGGTGGTCACTGGCTACATGAGCCACTCACGGCTGACCCAGTGACCTCGCTGTCACTGCATTGCCGACTTTTGCCCAGTCATCAGGGCCACCCAGGTGCCACCTCCCCTGGGAAGCTTCTAGAAGGCCTTCGGATGATAGCCCCACCCCCCATGTCTCTGGAGCAGCAAGTTCGGGGACTTTACTTCCAACGTCCCCGTTGTGTGTGGCTGCAGTGCCACAGCGCCCTGGCTCAAGGTCATGGAGACCGTGACTTCCCCTCCAGCAAGCCTGGTGCAGAGTCTACATCCCTGAGCCACGGAATCGATCCCTGGTGCCCGGTGCTGTGGGCACCCCTGGGAGCCGAGAGCCACTCAGGAGCAGTTTCAACCAGGAGCTTCCTAGAATGTACAAGATAAGCGCCCGACGGGACATTGCAGAAGACACCCCGATTTATTGAGCCTCGTTGAGATGTCCACCCGGTGCGCGTTCTGGGATGAAGGGAGCCACCGAGCTGCCTCGGGCCTGGAATCCTTCGGCTTCTACCTCATTTTTTATTCTGATGGGACCTCTGTGCCCCGCGGTGGGCAAAGCCCTGTGTTTAGGAAGAGGAGCCTGCGAATGAGTCAGGACAAAAGACCCTCATCCCCGGGGGCAGAGGAGGACGGATCACTACCCCGGGAAACAGTGCGCTAAACCCATCCTCCTGCATCCTTCCGGGCATCTGTGCACCTTGGGCGTGTCCAGTCCGGGCGTGGCCTTCACAGAGTGAGGCCTTTGGTTTTATTCTCATTTTAACGTCACGCACGTGCCCTGCAGACCCTGCAGGAATGTGTGAACTGGCAGATTCAAACAGTAAGAGAAGAAGAAAATAAAGACACTCACGACCCACCCCCAGGAATCAGCATGTCGGCTTTTATGACACATCCTCACACACATGCCCTCCAGGGGGACAGGCAGGCAGCCCGGGCCCGTCAGTGTGGCCCCCGCAGGGCAGGCTGACCCACCAACCTCCCGCACCTGGGCTCCATCCAGTCCGCTGCCACGCAGAGTTGGAGCTGCGAAGCCGTCTCCTGAATTTTCAAGGGGAAATCAGAAATCCAGATTTTTATGTCACTCTCCTAATTAAATAAGGGGAATAAAATACCTTGGGCCAAACGCATGCGTCTGTGGTATCCTACGGGCTATTGCATTGCCTCTTGATTTTGATTCTTCTCTTAGAAAACTGACCTTTTTAATTACCTAAGTACCAAATACGGGAAGAGGAGGCCCCGCAGAGCTTTGTGCTCTGTTTCAGGTTACCTGTTCCCTAGAGGTACCTCAGAAGGTTCTAGAGAAACCTTTCTAGGTCTCACCACGGGCCGCACCAGCTCCCACAGACCAGGCCCCTGAGCTAAACCCTTCACATTCCAGTCGAAGACAGACAGGTCCTGAGCACCAGCAAATGGGAGCAAATCAATTAGAATAAACCCTGCAGGAGGAGCCGGAGGTAGCTCAGCGGTAGAGCACTTTCCTGGCATATGCAAAGCTCTGAGTTCCATCCTGCAAAACACACATAAATAGAAATAAATCGCTGTTCCGCCAAGAATGAAAACAGTCATGAGACAGTGATGAGTTAGTGACTTAGGGTTCTGCAGACAAGGACGATCTCTCCATCATGTAAGACAGAGCCAGCCAGCCGCACACTTAACAGCAGGAGAGCACCCCCAGCAGACAGAATATCCTATGCAAAGGCCCCGAGGCAGAAAGGAACTTCTGTTCAAGAATTCAAAATAAGCTGCCAGTGGCTCAAAGGTGGTGGATTTGGAGCAGAGGGAAGGAAACCAAGGCTAGAGAAAGAGGCAGGGCTTCACAGCCCAGGTAAGAAGTTTGGCGAGGAGAGACAAGAGGGTTCCATGGTAGAAAGAAGGGGAGGGAGGAGTGGGAGAGCCGCCTAGGTGTGTAGGGAACCCGACCTTGATGGTTCTCTTGGCCTTGATCAGCGCTCAACACGGGCGACCGCTCTCTTCTGCAAACACTTCCTTCTTTTGACCCCGGCCCCCCACCTTCCAGAGCAAACTCTGACCGTGCACGTTCGTGGATCAAACAGCAGCCACGTGAACAAGTGGTCCGTGTTCTGCAGTGATAAGCATTTCCTGGAGCTCTGGTCTGTGGGTCAGCCTGGCAGATTCCCTGATGGGGGCTGGACAGCACACTCCCGCGTCCTCAGTCGGCTCCGGGTCCGTACGGCGGCTCCGTGGCTCTTGGCTGGGAATCGCTGGCTGATGGACCCAGGCCGGCCTCGGCTGGGACGCCACTGCGTTCCCACGTCCCGCCCTCCAGCAGGCTAGCTCAGGCGCGCTCTCGCGGTGGTCACTCGAGAGCAAAGAAGCACAGGAGACTTCGGGAGGCCTGGCTGGGGCAGGCCGGCCCCCCACCACTACCACCTGCCAAAGCAAACTCCAGAGGTGGGAAAACGACCTGTCTCTCCCCTGGTGCAAGGAAGCCAGCAAAGTCACCTGGATACAAGAGGCTGAGGGGCCTTTGGGACATTGGTGCAGGTGACCACAGACTTCCAGGACTCCCTCTATGCCACCCATGACGGAGTCAGAGCCACAGTGGCTGTTTACATTGAAATCACATCAAATTAGGCAGGTGCAGTGGTGCACGCCTGTCATCCCAGCAGCTCGGGAGGCTGAGGCAGGAGGATGGCAAGTTCCAAGCCAGCCTCTGCAACAGCGAGGCACCAAGCAACTCAGTGAGACCCTGTCTCTGAATAAAATACAAACTAGGGCTGGGGATGGGGCTCAGTGGTTGAGTGCCCCTGAGTTCAATCCCTGGTACCCCCCCCCTCAAAAAAAATTCATATAAAATTAAAAATGCATGTCCTCAGTGACAGCTAGCCCCATTTCCAGTGCTCGGTCATTACACGTGGCCAGCGGCTACCATCCTGGACAGAACAGATATAAGCTATTTCCATCCTCTTAGAAGCTCCTGCCTGGACTTGGCTGCAGCCTTCCCCTTCCGGCATCCGCACCTGAAGCTGGCAGGAGCCGTGAACACCCAGCGTCCCAAGGCACGCAGGCGGCTTGTGCAAACCCAGAGGCATCCCAGGAACAAGGCAGTGATTTCGGGAGCGGCATCCATACGGGAAGGCGCCCCCCCCCCGCAGCCATCATTGGACATAAAGACTTAAAACTCCAGATCGGAACCCGAGGGAAGCCTGCATTTAGCCGAGCGGGGACAGTGATTTGTGGACTGCTATTATTAAGAAGCCACCAGCATCCTCCTCGTGACGTGCAATTTAAACACTGCAGGAGCTTTATTCTGTCCAAGTAGGAGGGAAGAACCCGAGCGTGGCCGGTCTCTGCTCCCTGCTCCCTCCCATACTCTGGGCATCTCTGCTTAGTAGCTTCCCTGACCCCTCCAGCCAGCGGGCCTCAGCGGATCAAAGATGTGTGTTTTTAAACAAGCTACTTCTGCAAGCTTGTGTATGCATTTGCGTGCATATGAGTCTCAGAGTGGCAATAATTTTTAAAGAAGCAGCACAGCATCAGAGGCAAGGAACAATGAGGGTATAAATTGGTATTTCTGATAAAGTCAGACCTTACAGAGACCCTTGAGATGGAGAGGGGGGGGGTTCCAAAACATGATTTTTTTTTTTTTTTGGCTCAAGAATGACGAATGCAGCTTTATTTAGAATAGAAAAAAAAATTTATGGCTCATCAATGGGGACTGACTCTAATATATGTGCTCCACCCAGTGAAAACCTTTGCATCACACGACACACGTACACATTCTTGTTTTCAGAGACTTTAAAAAAAAAAAAGAAAGAAAGAAAGAAAAGAAAAAAATATGCTCAGGAAATCCTGTGGAGCCAAAGCAGGATACAGCCAGTGTGCACATTACGATCTCCATGATGCAATATTTATGCAAATATATGCATAGGAGAGTGGGCTGCAGGGAAATGCATGAGGAGTCGTGTTTGCACACCATTGCCGCTCCCAGCCCCAGCACCGAGGACTCAGTAAATATCGGAATCGACGTTATTTATGGGAAGAGGCATCAAAAGTAGTAATTTTATTTTCTTGATTTGACTTCCCTGTAGTCAGCACGTTTCACATTTATAACTCAGCAAAAAAGTTATTCATAGTCACTGAGCTCATAGCTGCACAGGGAGCAGCTTCCAGACTGGCGCAAAGAACCCGCCAAGTGCTGGGTAAATGGGGTCTATTTCAGGAACAGGCTCGCGGGGCGCTGGGGGTGGGGACGATGCCACACGCCTCCGGCCCTGGCCCACGATCGCCTGTGTTTTCAGGTACTACCCGATGGGCCACCCAGCGTCTGTCCACCTCTACTTCCTCGCTGACCGCTTCCAGGGCTTTCTGGTCAAGCACCACGCTACCAATCTGGCCGTGAGCAAACTCGAGACCCTAGAGACGTGGGTGATGCCAAAGAAAGTCTTCAAGATCGCAAGCCCTCCCAGCGACTTCGGGAGGCTGCAGTTCTCTGAGGTAAGAGGCCAGACGCGGTCACCCTGGGGGTTTGGCAGTTCCCCCGCTGGCCGGGAGCTCTGCCCCATTTGGATGCTTGCAGCGGGAGAGGGAGGACCTTGCAGACCCTAGAGATGAGCTCACATCTGTGGGACTGTGCAGCCCCGGACACTAGAGCCAGGGACTGTTTCGTCCTAGCCAGGGACTCCTTCTAAACCTGTGTTCATAGGACGCCCGTGACAACCCAGCTTCCTAAGGACACAGTCTCATGAACGCCATCTTACAGACGGGGAATTAAGGCAGATGGAGAGCCAGTGGTTTTCTGGATCAGAGCTAGGAAGTGGAAGTTGATCCCAGGTCTCTGGCCACAGACACTGTGTTTAATTGTGTTTATGCCACCCCAGGTCCTAGCATAGGAATGACTGCAAGTGCACACTAGATCAGTCTTTGGCTACAGTAGTGGATGGGTGGGTGGGTGGGTGGGTGGATGCATGGATGAGTAGATGGATGGATGGATGGATGGATGGATAGATGAGTAGATGGATAGATGGATGGGTGGGTGAAAGGATGAATGGATGGATGGGTGGGTGGGTGGATGGATGGATGGATGGGCAGGTGGGAGGATGGATGGATGGATGGATGGGCAGGTGGGAGGATGGATGGATGAGGTGTATGGATGGATGGATAGATGGGTGGATGGATGGATGAGTGCATGGATGGTGGATGGATGGATGGATAGATGGGGATGGATGGATGGATGGATGGGTGGAAGGATGAATGATGCCGGTGGTTGGATGGATTGATGAATAATGGATGGTGGATGGTAGATGGTAAATGGATAGATGGATGCATGAATGAGTAGATGGATGGTGGATGGATGGATGGATGGGTGGAAGGATGAATGATGATGGATGAGTGGGTGGATGGATGGATGAATAATGGATGGTGGATGATGAATGGGTAGATGGATGCATGGATGAGTAGATGGATGGTGGATGGATGGATGGATGGTCGAGGCATGGACAGATGGACTCCCCTCCCACAGCAGCATCAGCCTTTAGTTACTTCTCTGGCTGGGGAAGCGGGTTCACCAGCACCACCCTCACCCCCGGCCCTGCCTCCAGGCCCAGAGGGCCCCGTGGGGCCCAGCCTGTTTTCTTGTCCAGCCTTGGCCAGTGCTGCTCTCCTCCCTGCTCACGCTGCTGTGCCCTTGCCACACACACCACACTTGTTCTGGCCTCAGACTTGGCGCAGGCTCATCCCCAGCCTGGAACACAGTCCCGGGGTTGCCTGGTTTCTTTCTCAGTCATTCCAATCTAGATCCAAACAGTGTCCCCTCAGAATGGCCTCCCTGGCCACCTCCTCGGGCGGCAGTGGCCACATTACCCACCCGCCTCCTCCCTGTGGAACTGTCTGTCTCTTGGTATTTGCCAGGTGACGCTCCTTGTTGATTTATCAGATCATTTATTGATTGTCCACAAGAGAGCCGATCCGCTGCCCTCCTGTTCCCTGCCGCGTCCCCACGTACATCATCTGTAGGAGAGCGCCAGCCACTTACAGATGCCGAATGTGATTTCTGAAGGAATGGGCCAAAGCCCGTGGGTAGCGATGCTGGAAGGGAGGGTGGTATGACTCCGGGAACCCCAGCGTCCGACATCTGCCCTCCCCAGGTCAGCACGTAGCTCAGGCGGGTGCAGGACCCTGGCCACGGGGTTACTTACGGATGAAGAATCTGAATCTAGAATACGAAGAGCATGTAGGACTGGGGTGTGATGGAGGTGGGGTCTCACCTCCTGGTCCTCCCCTAGCCTACTGTGGCCTTGCCTTGCTGTCCCGTCCCCCTCTCGGTATGTCCCCATGTCAATCAGGCACGGGTGACTTTCTTGTTAGGCCCACGTTTTCAACTCAGGCTCCAAATGGATTGGCTGGATTTGAACATAATAAATTACTGGTGAGTCAGGGGGTAATTAAACGCTGCCCCAGTTGGATCCTGGGCTGGGGGCCCACGTGGCCCATTGAAGACATTAACGTCCCATTAAAGAGATGGATGCCTGGCGTCTGGGCTCTCCCTGTTTATCAGCCTGTGGTTGGATGACTAGGTCCCTCCGGCAGTGACAAACGAGGTTGGCCACTCCACGGCTAGTGATCTGCAAGGGTTCCCGGGTAGGTCCGGTAGCGTTGGAGAGGAGCCACCAAGATCACCGGCAGAAATAACGGCATGGGACCCATGAAGTCCTAATCTTGAATTTTGAAAGTTTTCTCGTGTTATTTATGTTTTGTTGTATTTTTAAAATTTTTTGTGCAGTTCTGGGGATAGAACCTGGGACCTTGCACACACTCAGTGAGTGCTCCACCCCTGAGCTACAGCCTGGCCCCCTTAGTCTTGCTGATTTTTAACAGCACAGACATAAAATCTCAGAGCCACTCAGAGGGCTGCCGAGAGGCTCCCTGGCAGTAGTGCCGGGGCCTGGCCTGGCGTCCGGGTCTGGCTTGTTGCGGGTGGCCAGTGTCACATTTCTCCAGTCCCTGAGAACCCCGTGCTGTTGGCTTGGAGAAGAGATGCCTAATCTTCCTCCAGGCCACCAGCAGCAGCGTGCTAGACTCCCGAGGGACAGCAGTGAGCCAGACAGATGAGGCCCCTATTGTCATAAAATGCAGTCTAGTGGGGCAGCCAGCCAGCGAGAGAGAGAATAAAAGAACAGAAGCTGCCCAGCTAATGACAAGTGTCACAGATAAAATAAGACTTCCTTCGTGGGACTGCTGAGGACTTGGGAGGTTGATGGGGATCACCTCCCAGAGGGTGGATCATTCCACAAGGCTCTTCAAAAGAGAAAAATGTAGAGCTGGAATCTGTACAGGAGATTCTCAGACGGGCAGATCTGGAACGGTCCTGGCACAAGACAGAGGGGAAAGAGCAGGTACAAAGGCCCTGAGGTTCCGAAGGAGTGTAGCATACCCCATGGGCAGCCAGGCCAGTGTGGCCAGAGCACAGTGAGGGGGAGAATGGCAGAAGCCAGGCCTCCAGAGGCAACAGGGAAAGGTCCAGATGGGGAGCTTTGGATGGGGATTGGCAGCTGGGGAACAGCATGTTAGGTCTGAACCGGTGTTTAAATTGGGGCAGTTGATGCTTTTGCAGGGAATGGCTGTGGATTTCCACACTGAGGCTCCCTAGATCTCAGAGGTGACGGCGGATGGGACCATAGTGGGCTCCTTCTCAGACTGACCCCGCCCCGCTTCTCAACCTAGGAGCAAGATGCAGAGATTTAGTCAGCCGCTCCCCAACACCTGCGTGCCTTCTCTTGCCTTGGGAACTCAGATTTCAGGCAGCGGCTCATTTCCATTTCTGTGGTGAGCCGGGGACAGTGCTCTCCAGGGTCCCCACAGCCCCTGTCTGGTCACAGATCCTTTTCTCTGTGTGATCTCGAGGTGGTTCTGTGACAGTTCATCCTTCAGTCTGTTGGAAGGTCGGCGTGGAGAGCCTGGGTGCCCGGGGAAGCCCGGTCCTCAGTCCTGTCCATTCAGCATGCGTTCCAGTTCAACACCGAGACATAATGGACAGTGGTATGATTGGTTGATTGAGGATAGGTAGAGAGATAAGAGATAAGGCGACATACACCTGAGATGTGTAGATGGGAAATAGATAATTGATAGGCAGTAGATGGACTGAAGACCGATGACTGACAGGCGGATGGGAGGGTCTCCTGCACTCTGCTGGGCTCTCTCAGGAGCCCTGAGGCCAGCGGTGAGGAGCGCGAGAAGTCCCGGCCTCCTGCGCGCTGCAGGGCCCAGAGGCCTCCTCTCACCAGGTGCCTCCCACAGGGAGGAGCTTCTGAGCAGGAGCAGCCCCCGGGCTGCAGTCTGGAGCTGGCCCGATAGGAAGCCTATGCCTCGGACAGCCCCAGGACCCTGGCCCGAGAGGCCGAGAGCCCTGCACAGCGCCTGGGGAGAGGGCCAGGGAGGAGAGGGGGCGGGGCAGGCCCTGGCCAGACCAGCGAGGGGTGGGGCTTTCTCAAGTCTGGGGGGACGTCCACCCGTGGCCCCGCCCCTCCCCCAGCTCAAGCTTCCCCCTGGTCCACGGAAGCCGGCGGAAAGCTGCCCTGACCCTGCGTGTGCGCCAGCCACCCAGGGGGTGGGGGCTCCTGGCTGGAGTGTGCGGGTGAGTGAGTGAAGGGACCCGGCCCCTGAGCGCATCGGGAGAACTGCAGCCCCCGGTGCCACCCTGGCGGCCCCTGCGCTTCTGACCGTGGCACGTCACGTACATCTGAGCTAGAGGACACCGACAGCCCCCCCCCCCCCCCCCCCCCCGCCTTCTGGATTCGGGAACACGGGAGGAATCGATGCCCCCGACGGTCCCTGGTGCCTTAAGCCCTCCGTGTGTACTAGCCGCCCAGCTCCGTGTCCTGGGTGGAGAGTGGACAGTGGCTCCAGGCAAGGCCAAGGAGGACCTCGGTCAGCCCCTGTTGGCACCCGAGCTCTTCTCCAGGAGGGCGCATCCGGGCACACCTCCCCCTCGACCTGCGACACGCGCAGACGCTGGGGTGCTTGCTGGTCCTCTGCCACCAACGAGCCCGCGGGCCATCGGCGAATAGATCCTCACCAGGGAGATGGACACTTTTTTTTTCCAAGTCAGAAAACCCCTCATTTAATGTGATCTGAAATAGCCGCGGAGTTCAGGGCTGGCCATCGACGCAGTTAGTCCCTGTTCTTGTCAAGTCATTCACTTGATCAGACAGACATTGCTTAAGCGCTTGCTGTGTGCCGAGCCCAGGAATATCATAGGCACCAAGAAAGCACAGAGAGCCAAATAAGGAAGGCTGTTCACAGGGGGCCTCTGGTACAAGGGGTGGGAGGGAATGACGGGCCGCTGGTGGGCAATGCTCAGCAGATCAGCAGCAGCAGTGACAGTGACCGAGGGCCACTCTAGATCTGGGGGTCAGGGAGGGTGCCGGGCGACCTTGGAAGTGAAGGGCCAGCTGTGCTGGGAGGTGACGGCACTGCAGGCTGGACAGGTGGAGTGGGGACCCGGGGTGGGAACAGGCCTGATGGATCTGAAGGTCTGAAACAGGGCGAGCGGCATCGATGGCCAGGGGAGGTGGAGGCGGAGGGCAGGCCAGGCTAGGGGGGCTCCGAAGCCCGAGTTCCCCTCTGGCACACTACAGGAACTGGCTGCCTGCAGTTTGGAAAACCCACGACCCTGCGGAAACCAGCCACACCCATGGAGTGGCTTGGTGTGAGTTTGGGGAATGGCCTGAAAGCGGGTATTCATTCATGCATGTGTTTAGGGCCTGTTTTGGGGGATTAATTTCAAAGCATATTCCATGTACGGAGCCCAGGAGGCCCCAAGGTTTCATGAGAGGACCGCATGCAGGCCCTGGGATCCCCAGGCAGGGCTCACATCTGCTGACCAGCTGTGCAGGCTGGAGTAGGTGACTTACTCAGAGCCTCGGTCTCCTCGTCTGTGAAATGGATCCATGGAACCTACCAAGCAGGATGCTAGGTCCTTCTGGGACCCAGCCCCCTGGGTCACCAGCAGCCTCAGGACTCGCTCTCCCATTCCAGGTCGGCACGGACTGGGACGCCAAGGAGCGGCTGTTCCGCAACTTCGGGAGTCTCCTGGGGCCCATGGACGAGCCAGTGGGAATGCAGAAGTGGGGGAAGGGGCCCAACGTGACCGTGACCGTCATCTGGGTGGATCCTGTCAATGTCATCGCAGCCACCTACGACATCCTGATCGAGTCCACCGCTGAGTTCACCCACTACAAGCCCCCTTTGAACTTGCCCCTGAGGCCCGGGGTCTGGACCGTGAAAATTCTCCACCACTGGGTGCCGGTTGCAGAGACCAAATTCCTTGTTGCACCTCTGACCTTCTCAAACAGGCAGCCCATCAGACCAGGTGAGTGTTCCAGTGTCCCCGCGGGGGAGAGAGTCCCTGGCAGGTCCTCCTCCTTGGCAGAGAGCATGCTCCAGCACGGGACAGCCACTTAGAGTCCTCCTCCCCTCTTTCCGCAGCCTCTCCTACTTGTCTGTCCTAGGGCCCCATGGAATTCCCTCCCGGTACCTATTTATTAGGTCCCCTCCCCGTTGACTTCAGGAGGTCTGAGCGTGTTTATGACAAACGGGAGATGAGCCCGGGGAGATATTAGGTTTCAGCACGTCTTATTGGCTGTTTAGAAAACAATAATTAACATAGGAATTCTATTCATCCAAAAATATCATACCTTCAGTAAAAACAGAAACCACTCCCCTGGTGGAAGATATTTGCTTTCAGAAAGCATTCATGTTCGGAATGTATAAGGAAATCCGCACAAGACCCCAGGCCAAACACGATGTGGTTTTGTAAGTATACTTTTATAAGAATACAGCCACGGATAACTAATTGGAACAAACTAAAAAAAAAAAAAAAGAACACAGCCACACCCATCCATTTGTACGGTGTGTGTTTCTGCTCTGGGCTACGGTGGCAGAGTGGAGAATCAAGCGCCCTGTTGATTAGCTGCACTCCTGGCACCCCTCAGGGTCCTCAGAGCCAGATGTGGAGGTGAAGCATGTGATCAGCATCCTTCTGTGTGCATTCTGATGGGACAGCCCAGAAATGTCCCCAAACCCTCCCACCCCGGGGACAGCCGGGCCGTGCACTGTGACCCTGGTCTTTCCAATGTTTTCTGCTGGAATTTCTGAGGAAGGCAGAGCTCTTCATCCCCGGTCCCAGGAAGACCTAGGGGGTTGTCTTCCCCCACGGGGAGCAGACCCCTGGTGTCGGTAATCGTATGTGTTAGCGATGTCCTCACGACAGGGAACACGAAGGTAGGAGCCATCCAATTTGTAAAATGATTCATCACGAGTAATTTGCTATTGATGCGTCCCCAGTAATCTCCAGAAATCTGATGAGGTGGAATTGAGGCAAATTTAATTATAGAGGCGAGAATCATGAGCTGGTACTGTAACCGCGTTCCCCACATTAACCTCATTTTTCATAAGGGTTTCTTGCATCCACCACGATTTGCGTTTCCAACATTTGCGCATTCGCTCGCTGCTCCTTTCGCTTGGAACGTGCTGCCCCTGGTCAGTCTGGACACCCCACCGCCTCCCAGTGTTAGAGAACTTGGTGGAAAGCACCAAAGACAGAAGGCTCTGTTCTCCTGGCAGGTGGTGCTGGCACTGCCCGCCCTGTCTGCCAATCTGAAACGTGAGCTAGGACCAGATTTATAAGCACGGCAGCTTCCAGCATATGCTCAGTGCGTCCTGGTCTCCCCTTTCCCCTGTGGCTCCCCAGGGCATTGAGAATGGAAGGAATGGCATTCCTGTCTGTGTTGGCCAAGGTCGATGCATGTTCTGAATTCAGCTAGTATTCTCGTTGCTTTTAGAAATGAGGCAGGCCTAGGGTCTTTCTGTTTCCTCCTTGCCCCACTCAGGACCCACCTATTAGAAGAAAGTGGCATGCTGTCGCAGGCTGTCCTGGTTACCTTAGTGGGGACAGCTCTTGGTAAGCACAAAGGAAGCATTGTCTTCTGAGCACGGTGTTGTCTCATAAGGAGGTGTCTTCTGATCCTGGCCATCACGCTATACAAACCCGACTGGTGGAACAGAACTCGCCAGCCTCACTGGCCAACCCTTTTTCAGAAAGATGTGTTCTTGTCATGGGCTCCAAAACAGGCCACGAGTGTGAGCTTCTTCAAGACAGGAACACCCAGCTTGTGCGTGGGAGGATCACAGACTAACAAAAAAAACCAACAGGAATAATCCTGGCGTGGAATATGAGCCAGGTGCCACTTTGAGCACTCTCTCCGAGCCAGCCTAGTGAATCCTCACAAACGAGAGAGCTGAGGGAGACGTTGGTGCCCTCTTCCTTCCACGGAGGAGGAAACGGGGGCACCAAGAGTCCAAGTCAGAAGCCACACCCCCAGTTTGTGGAGTGTGGGGACTCAGACAAGATCGTCACATCTGGGCTCTTGCGTGAAGCACTTCACAGAACAGTTGGCGCACAGTAGGTGCTCAGCAAGGTGGAGTTATCACAAGGACATTCCCCTCCACCCACCCTCTGGCTCAAAGGTCCTGCTGCCCAGGGGAGCTCATGCACCAGCACCTTCCACTGAGCAACGCCTGGTGCATCCAGAGTCAGGGGTGGGCAGGCGGCAGCCCGGGATCTGAGGTCCACACACCCAGTGCTCAGTTAGGTTGCGCCCTGGCTGTTCTCTCTACCCGGAAGTTCTTCCCCAGAATCTTGATCTGCCCCCTTCCTGCACACTGATCTGCACTCACCTCCCGGGGGAGGTCTCCCCCACCCACCTCCATGTGGGTAGACACCGGGGGCTCAGCACAGTCTTCCCCTAAAGGGCTCAGGCAGGGAGTAAAATACATTCAGCTTTTCAGGCCCAACAGCCTCGGTCCCAACTCACCTCTGCTAGGGTGGCACAAAAGCAGCCACAAATGATCCGTGAGCAGGTGGGCGTGGCTGTGTTCTAATAAAACTTTATTTATAAACACCCACGGTGGGCTGGATCCGGCCCTCGGGCTGTCTGGAGTCAACTGTGACCCAGTACCCTGTTATGGTCCTCGTGACCTTTATCTCTGCCTGAAATGACCTCGTTTACCTAATTGTTCATCTGGTTGTTGTTGCTGCCACCGTAACATCACCCCTCTCTCTGGTTCATCCCGCCACCTAGAATGCAGCCGGTACCCGGAGTGAGAGGCATTTATTGTATCTCTATCCGATCAGTCAATCAATCAATGCCTTGCAGATAAGAGATGTTTAGTATGTGTTGAGTGAATGTGCTGCACAAAGTAGATGCTTAAAAACGTGTGTCGAACGGCCAAGCGCCTGTCATCCCAGCAGCTCAGGAGGCTGAGGCAGGAGGATCGCGAGTTCAAAGGCAGTCTGAGCAACAGCGAGGCGCTGAGCAACTCAGTGAGACCCTGAATCTAAATAAAACACAAAATAGGGCTGGGGATAGGGGCTCCGTGGTTAAGTGCCCTTGGGGTTCAAGTCTGGTACCAAAAACAAAATTCAAAAAAAAACCAAAAAACCCCCACCTGTGTTGAAGGAGTGAACGAGAGGCCACTAACCCATAAACATATGCCCACTGAATCCCAGGCGGAGGGTGCCCTGCATTAAGCGGGCCATGTCCCTGAAGGACACGTCCACCTGTCCAATGGGACTGCTCAAGCACTTCCCGTGAGGTGGGCACAGGAGTTACCTAGATGCTGCCCAGTGCCCCCGGCGCCAGGTGCCCCGAGGCAGGTGTCCAGTCGGCGGCTCCTGGACTCACGGTTCCCTTTGGCTTGCAGAGGAGGCGCTGGAGCTGCACAACGGGCCCCCCCGCAGTGCCTACATGGAGCAGAGCTTCCAGAGCCTGAACCCCGTCCTCAGCCTGCCCATCAGCCCCGCCCAGGTCGAGCAGGCTGCCCGCCACGCCGCCTCCACGGGCGCAGCGCTGGAGGGCTGGCTGGACTCGCTGGTGGGCGGGATGTGGACCGCCATGGACGTCTGCGCCACGGGCCCCACCGCCTGCCCCGTCATGCAGACCTGCAGCCAGACAGCCTGGAGCTCCTTCAGCCCCGACCCCAAGTCAGAGCTGGGGGCCGTCAAACCCGACGGCCGGCTGAGGTAGCACTGGCCACGGGAGGGCCACCGCGTGATCTCCATGGGAAGGCAGCCGGAGGGCTGGTGCCGCGGGACCCCGGCCTCCCGCCCTGGGGTGCCCCTTGTGCCAGGGGCTCTCCTGGCCATGGGACGGAGGAGGCGGAGGGTCTGGAGGTCAGAGCAGAGCCAACCTGCACCTGGCGAGCTGGCTTCTGGGGCTGGCACCAGGGTGGTCCCACCTCTGCTGGCGGGTCCCCCAAGTTCCGCAGGTCCCTCTCCTCCCCGTCCTGTGACCTGCCCTCATCCTGCACAAGTGATCTCACACTTTTATTTTGGGCAGCAGAACTGGGTTGACTTGTTGGGTGGAAGTTCAGGCGCAGAGGAAATCCAGGCTGTGCCCCTGGGAAGCCGAGGGGTGAGGCCCCCTCCCCAGGCCCAGCCCGCCAGGCCGGCCCTGTGCCCAGGACATCTCCCAAGGTCCCTCTTCCAAACCCAAGGGCTCTGTGAAACCCAGTTGGACAAGCACTGCCCAGAGGGAGGTCTGGCCTCCTGCTGCCCTCTGCTTAGCTTTCTGCTCCTTCGTCTGGGAGTGCCCCGGGGCCAGCTCTGACGTGGCCAGTCACCGAGGTCACAGTCTCAGGCCTTTCCCAGGGAGATGGGCTCGGGAAGACCCTGAGCCTCCCACCAGCCCTTCTAGGCACCAGCTGTTCTCCCTGATCAATGGAGAAGCAGGGAAGCCTGTGGATGGGACCTGGCCAAGAAGTGTGACGGCCCGGTGGCCGTGAGTCTGGGCCACCCTCCCCGGAGGCTGCCGCCCAGGGTCGTAGGGGTGGAATGAGGTTGGTGAGCACGAGCCTCGAGTCCTAACCAACCTGGGAACGGTGGGGACCGTGGCCAGGGAAGGCACGAGGCGCTGCCTGGGCAGGTCTCCCGAGCTGGGCAGCAAAGCAATACCCACCCCCTACCTGCCACCGCCCTTCCGTTCCGAGGTCAGGCGCCCAACCCTTCGTGAATCGCACACCTGGTGCTGCGGGTGGGGGACCAGAGGCCCGGACCGGGCTCCTCGCAGGGAAGAGCATCTCCGAGTCACCGAGGAACTCCATGTCCCCCCTCGTCCACGCCGCCACAGGCCCATCCGAGAAGGCCGAGTCTCGAAAGCGGGAAGGTGGTCCAAAGGTTCAAAAATGGTGTGATTCGAATCGCTTGAGTGACCAGAGACTCGAAGGGTCTCCTTGCCATGTGCCCTCTAGGGGACACCCCCCCGACATAGCTCCCTGGGGGCCCCCCCAAGGCCCCTCTTCTTCCTCAAATCCCACCTCTCCTGAGTGACAGGGTGCCCTGGGAGCAGACGCTCCCGTTGGTCCCCCGGGGAGCTGGTCTGGGCACCTGCCCTGGCCCAGGCGAGCAGGTTCTGCGGTTCACCTGGGCGACCGACCTCCCGCGACGTGGCCCCCACCCCCACCCCCCGGCGAGGCAGGATGTCCTACTGGCCGCGGAGGACACGGAGAAGGGACACCAGATATTTATGATTTGTACGTTTCAGTCCGTGACTGGTCAGCAGTGCTGCGGTCACAGCCTGCGGACGTTTTCGTCCTGATGGAAGCCGCCTTTCTTTCACGAGAGGCCCCCTCCCTCCTGGCCACCCCCTAGCCTGTCTGTCTGTCTGTCTGTCCCTCTCTCAGTTTCTATCTTTCTGGGTCTGCCGACATCCTCCCTGTCCTCGGAGTAAAGCAGGAGCCTTGGACACCAGGAGAGAGCTTCAGCCGTTGTCGTCCCCTGGCCGCGGGTGGGAGCCCTGGGGACGACCAGCGTCCAGCTTTCCCCTGTCCCCTGCCCTAAGCACAGAGCAGTGACAGCTGCAGGACGGGCAGTGGCGGACTCCCAGGCCCATCTCACCATGGCATCCATGTGAACAGGCTCCTCCGCAGGGGGACGGGTGTGGTCAGCCCCAGCCAGGAGAGTCCAGAGAAAGACAGCTGTGGTCCCAGGCGGCTCTGGGAACCTGAGCCTCTTTCTCAGAAAGCCTGTAGGGTCCCTAGGTGGTTTCACCCAGTCCCAGGGGACCACGGGGCCAGCGACAGGGCCTCTTTCTGTCCCCCGCCTCTGCCACAGGCCAGCGTGTTCCTGGAGCTGGGAGGCTCTCCTCCCGCTCCTCGCTGAGCTGCCGGGACTCTCTCCTGCAGTATTATGATTGGTGGCTTTAGGGACGCAGCCCCGGCAGGCCCCGGTACACAGAGCAGGCGACCAACTCCAGCACCCGGTCCCTCCTGACCCTCTGACATTTCCCGCTCTCCATCCTGGACGCCTGGAGGCCTGGCCGCCACTGGCCTGCTCTGGGGACCTCCCTCCTCCCCAAGGCTGCCCTCCCCCACACGCTGCAACTGATTTGGGGGGGCTGAGAAGTCACACGGGGGGTTCTTTTGTCTCCGCTGTTTGGGGATCATGAGAGGAAGGTTGCAGCTGTCACATTTGATTAAAAAAAAAAAATTCCAAACAAAGCCTAGTGCCATTCGCCAAAAGGAGATGTTTTCCCAGGGAGGAGAACAGTGTCGGTTCTTTGTTGTTGTTGTTGTTGTTGTTGTTGGGTTGATAACCTGCCTGACAGCGGTTCTTTGTCTGAGGCCCCTGGCCAGGCAGCTTGGAGGCCGTCTGGAGATTTCAAGGGCTTGGGGCAGGGGTCTCTGGGGACCCTGAAAACTCTGGAAGGTGAGACTTGGGTGTCCGCCACGAGGCAGGGGAGAGACGAGGGATCGGAGCTCTCTGTGCACTGGGGCAGGGAGAGTCCCGAGGCAGCCAGCTTCCCAAATCCCACCTCCCGGGGGCCTTGCATGGACCCTAAAGCCTCCAAGGAGGAGGCGTGCCACTCCTTGTTCCCTTTGGAAATCAGCCTCCCTGGTGGGCTCAGGAACCCGGGCTCCATTCTCCTGGTCCATTTCAAAATCCAAAAGGAGCTTAGAGAAGATGAGCCACACCACCCAGCGCACCCACCCCCAGGGGTCAGATGTCTGCCACCCTGGGCACGTGCCGGACATGTGGCTCTCTAGTCTGCCATTCAGGAGGGCACTGGTGAACCCTGACCTCTCCATCAAGAAGGTCCAGAGTAGGTTGGAGCAGGAGCCACCAGATGAGGGGCATGAGAAGAGCCCCCTTACACAACCAGCTTCACGGAGGGGTCTGGGCCACCAGGTCCCTGGCAGCATTTCGAGGCGGGGTGGGTGTCCTGGAAACCGCCGTGAAGGGCTCCAGCTTGGAGCGTGCCCAGGTGGCTTTCCAGAGCACAGGCCCACGCTGCGGTAGGGTCGCAGACGCTTCCTGAGGTCCAGGACAGGGACAGAGATGAGTGAGACCGCGGAGGTTGAGTCCCAGGCGGTGGTGAGGGCAGGGTCTGTCATGCGTGTGGCCCATCCAGCTGCAAGAAAAGCTCCGTGTGGCGGAATTCTCCAGTTTGGTCAGGGAAGCCAGCAATCCAGATTTTTCTGAGAAAATCTGATTTTTCAATGTCGGCTGTTTTGTTTTGTTTTGTTTTTTAAACCGAGTGTGAGTCAAAATAATAATGATTCCATCCTTCCAATTATGCACTAGCAGCCATCTCTGCCCTCTGGGAAGTGGCTCCATGAGGTGAACACTTCCCGCTGGAAGAGGGGGAAAGAGCTAGCACTGGAGAAAGGCCGTTGCTGGGGCTGAATTCTGAAGGGCACGGGGAGCTGTGGCTGCTCTGTCCCCTCCTAAACAGACGGTCCCACAGAGGAGGGCTGGCGGTTCAGCAATCCTGGTCCCAAGACCCACTGTGCAGAAGGGAACAGAAACACCATTTGGCGCTCTGGACTGCTGCCCCTAGTGCACACGCAGAGGTCCTCGTCCCCCTGGGTCCACGCCTTGCAGGATTCCATCAGACCAGGCAGAAACGGCAGGGACCCAGGGGAAGAGGGTGGTGGGTGAAACAGCCAGTCTCCCTCCCCGTCCCAAGTCTTGGCCGCCATCTTGCCATCTCTGGAAGCTTCTTCAGAAACCGCCCTGAGCCGTGCTTGCTCACGGGGTGTCCCCTAGCTTCTGCCTCAGTTACCTTACTTTGCCCATGGGTCAACCACAGGCGCTACCTCATTGTGTCTGCTCAGAAGTTTACCTGGGGGTGGGGGGACGGAAGGTGTCCAAACCTGCTGGAGCTGAATGTACGATCTATGCAAATTATTTCTCTGCGTGTGTGTGTGTGTGTCTCTCTGTCTCTCTCTCTCTCTTTCACTGACTTAGAAGTATTATTTTTTTTAACCTTGCAAACGAGATACTGTATAGGACCCTCTTAGACCCGAGGAGGGCCTTCATGCACCACCTGTGACGGCCCCTACTGTGGTCTCTGGTTCTGTTCTTGCCAAGCCCCCCGCAGGGAGAAAGGGCCTCTCCTCTCCCCACTTGGCTGGGAATACTCCAACTGCCTCTGCCTAGGACACCACCGGGAAGCGGTCCTGCCCCTTGCCACCCACCCCGGATGCCGTTTGGTCCTTTCTGCATCCTCCTCCGACTCGCTCCGCCTGACCCCGCATCCTTGCATCCAACCTCATCCCCCACCCCCAAAAGCCTTAGGTTTCTCCTTTTTGAAATGTGGCCTTAAAATTCTTTTTGGAAAGCTCACCGTCCTCTCCCCCAGAGTTTCTACCACCCTCACAGGAGCAGGCGCATGGCCAAGCTCTCCGGGCGGGCCTCCCTGGGCCAGGCCCTCCATCTGCAGTCCGCAGGTGCAATAGAAATGGCTCACGCCTGTCGTCTTTAAAGGGAAAAATGAAATGCTCTCATGTTTTTCCTCTGGGCACAATGAAGGCTCGGGTGCTCCTCTAAGCCTCAGCTGATTCCCGAAGCCCTCCTGGGTCCCCGTGTTCCTGTAGGGGACTGGCTTGATGACCGGCAGGGGGCTCCTGGCATCTCCCCAACCCAGGACTGGGTGACTTTACGGACTTCACTCAAGGGTCCCTCAGGAGAGTTTCTCAAGTGATCTCTTCATCCTTCCTGCCTGGAAAGTGGTGGTATTCATTAGTCCCAGCGGATGGGTCGCGTTCGCCAAGGGATCCTCCTCTCCCCACCTTCAGCCTCCATTCCCGACTCCCTCCGTCACAAGCGCTGACGGAGGCCAAAGACAATCCCAGGGTTTTCATAGGAAATTCACTGGAATTGAGTTCCATTGTCTTTGTACTCTTTCCTTGTCTCCTTCTTTTTTAAAATATTAAGTTGTCCATAGCATTGATTTGGGTACTTGTTTTAGAGGCCTCTCGATAAGTTATTACTGTCTCCCTCATTGTTTTCAAAGACATGTGGTGATATAGTTTTTAAAAATAACTATTTTGTTACAGATCATAATATGCATAAAACTGTACAGAAAAAAAAATATTTTGTAATGTATTGATTTAAAAAAAAGAGAGAATCTGTAAATAAAGTTTTAAAAAAAGAGAATCCACTTGGCACAGGCTGAAAGATGTAGATATTTTGCTATTTATTTAAAGGAGTATTTTAAGAGAGATGGAACTATCTGAAATTTGACCAATAATCAAAGTTCTAACCGTCCAAATGCTTTTCCTCAAGGTAGAATGTGATTCTCAGAACCAATTGCATTACCTGCTCATTTTTTTGCACCTTTTCTGTCTTTTTGTTTAGCAGAAAAAAAACAACGAAATTGTGCCTTAGCTGTATTTTTCTTTTGTCTAGGGGAGTTTGTTTCTGTCTGACAAAGCAAAATCTTTTGCAGAAAAGAGTGGATGTATTAAATACTGTATCATACCAAAAACACTGCAGGTGTATATAGACGCTTTCTGTCATACTGTGTTTTCAGATGCAGAATTTTAAAATAAAAAAAAAATGCTGTCTTTATTGAACAAAGTGGTGTGTCTTTGGAACCGTAGCACGCATCCTCCAGCAATCTCATATTCTCTTCTGTCATCTGCACCATGACAACTAGGATGACTATATAATGTACTATACCAGCTGGGGCACCTGTCTGAGTAGACACCAACTGAATGCATGCCAGGCATCAATGGGCTTTTCCTGGGAACACCCAGCTGTATGGGTGCACCTCATCATAAAGTATGCTGGGCCATTGCAAGACCCAGGGATGCCTCTGGATAGGTCAAAACTTATGAGTTTAAACCCTTATTATAGCTAAGTGTTGAGCCAGTTGGGTATGAAGAAACTGGGCTTGGTTAGACGACAGCAAGGAGGCCTTGCCTTCTAACCAAGCACAGTTTCTTCAAGCCCAAAGGGCTCGCCACTTTGAGCAAACAAGGTTCTCTTTCCTCTTTGCCACACAGTTGGACTACATTTCCCAGAATGCCCTGCACTTAGACGCAGCCACGTGACTGGCTTCCACCTGGGAAGGTTGGTGGGATGGATGCAAAGTCCCTTCCACTAGAGCTTCTTCTCTCCGTCATTTCCCGTTTTCCAGCTGAAATGTTTTGAAGCCTCTTGCGTTGGTGGATTCCTTTACTAGGCCTGTTCTGCTGCCCTCTTTGGAAACATCATTGCAACATAAAGGGGTGAGCAGAGCCATGTATAGGAGGAGCTTGGGTCCCTGCACGGCCACAGGAGAGGCCTCCTGACCAGAGTCACCCCATGGACAGGGACATGAAAAGAAATCAACATTTATTTTGTTTTGCCATTAAGAATGCATGTGTTACAGCCGCTCACCTCACCTTCACATGTCCTTCCAGAGGTAGAAATGCTGATATTCCTCTAGAAGGATCCATTTGAGCCCCCTTCCATTAGGCGAAGGTATGAGAACCAGGTGGGCCAACCAATCTTCCGGAAGCCACTCCGCATGCTCAGGTCTGGAAAACAAGATTTCCAATTCCCCAAGGAGTCCTTGACACGTCACTGAGAGGGCCAGTTCCTCCAAGCTTGAGTTGCTTGGGATGATGTCTCTTCTTGGCTTCTGAAGGTCATGGCCAAAGATGGGGCGTGCCCAGCTGGCAGAGTTGTGAAGATGCCCCTAACTCACCATGCCAAGTCCTCGTAGGCAAAGAACATACTGACAGACAAGTAAGATTTTAGTGGCCAGAGCGAGGTAGGGTAGCAGTCTTCTCCCTGGACAGGCAGAGAGGCCAAAGAATGGGAGCCAGCTTCAGCCTCTCAGAGCTTAGCTCAAGCCACAGGGTCAGGGGCTTCGTATTTGAGGTGAATGGACCCAAGGCTCAGTTTCCAAACCTCTTTCCAGTCTGACCTTAGACCCAAATTCCTCTTCCTCTCCCAAAGGGGAGCCCTTAAAAAAAAAAAAAGTTTGGTTTCAAGGGAAGAATAAACTTCTAAAATCTCTATAAGAATCTCAGCTTTCTTATTCCTGTACTCAGCATTGTTCCCCATTCCATAGGACAGGCACTCCTTGACCAGTGAATGGATAAGCAAATGAGGTCATATTTCTGAATTAATAATAGGGGCATGGGGTCACTTGTCCAAGATGCCATCTATATCCATCATTTGATGGATCACATTTGTCAAAACTTGTGTTACTAGAATGTAAACCTTGATATTTTTTTTTACCTCTAATAATGAGGTTTCCAAACCTATTTCATTGAAGGCTCAGCTGGGATTTCTTTCCTACTTACTGACTTGACCTAAGTTTCCTTCAAGTTTGGACACTACTGCATAATAGACCCATGTGTACCAAGCACACAGAGAAGGGGTTGGTCTAAGTACATTAAAATAATGGCTGCAAGGTTTTTTTTTTTCTTTCTTTCTTTTAAAGGGAACACCTTTTCAAACCAAATTGTACATTAAAACCTCTATACTAACAAAGAGACTTACAAATTGGGGGTGGGGAAGGATGCCCCAGTTACAGCAGGAGCCAAAAAATTCCATCTTAGCAGTACGCCCCTCCCACCTCAGGGTCCCAACCCCCTTGGTGTCCCCAGAGGGACATGTTTTGAAGCCCACACCTCTGGTGGAAGCAGTAGGCTTTTCGTAGGGTTACTCTGAGGCTTTGCTGCTGAAAATTGAGTTCTAATCCAGGTGAGAGTGAGACCAAACCCAAAGAATAAGTCGCTCCTCCCCTGGTCTTGGAAAGTCAGAAGGGCGGAAACTTAAATCTAGAACCAAAAGGAGAGGTGGCTGACCCGAGGTCAAGTTCGGGGGCCTCTGGACCCCATGCCTTCACATGTCATGCATCGGTCCAAGTGTTCTTTCTGGAAACTTCCTGCAGCTCCAGTCCAGATGGGAGGTACAGAGACCCAAGACCTGGGCTCTCCCGAGCCCTGGTCTTGCAGGGACTTGCTGTGTGACCATAGCAATTCTCTTTCCCGGATGCGTCTCCTTCCCATCATCTGATAAATAAGAGAGAAAGGGGGCCCTCAAGGACCACTGGGGTCCCTCCAAGTTTAGATACGTGGCTGCACCATCCAATTCCCCTACAGCCCTAACTGAGGGCTTGTGAGACCAGAAAGAAACGTGATAGGAAAACGGCCCTGAGATCCTAGTTTTGCTGATTGTTGTGGGCATTAGAGTTCTTGCCCTTGCAAGTCCCAGCAACCAACTCACAGAAGCTTAATCAGAAGGTGAATGTATTGAACCAGGGAATGTGGAAGAGCGCAGAGTTAAAAGGCAAAGTACAAGAACCAAGGCCGACTTAGGGTAGACACAGACCTGGCGCTAACGCCTCCATACTCACTCAGTCCCCCTCTTTCTCCATTTTTTCTGGCCCCAGTTGGAGGCTAGTTGACCCCTAGTTGGGGCCAGGTAGAGACATAAGGCTCCACAGGCCCAAGCTTCTTGGCCTTCAAACTCCATACTGCAAAGTCATCAGCGCCCTTCCCGTTCCTCGCCAAAAGAGAGGCTCCAACTCTGGACCTTGAAGGTCAGGCCAACAAGGCGCTCTGATTGGCTGAGCCTGGATCCTACGTCCCGCCCCTGTGGCCAGGGGATTGGGTAGAAACCGGTGATTGGCAGGCCCATCCCAATCAGAGGATCGCAGTAGAAAAGCTGCAGATCCCCAAAGGGAGAGGATGGTGTTGATGGAACGAGAAAAACCACAGATGTCGCCCATGGCTGCGGCCAACTCCAGGCCCTGGTGGCTCCCCGGCTTGCCAGTCCGATTCGTTTCTGCTTCTCAAGTGTCCCCATTGTCCCCTCCCACTCTTCTCCCTGCGGAGAAGGGCCCTGGAGCACTTTAGGCAAATCAGTTAGGTCAAGGTCACGTGGATGGTGCACATCCTTGTCTTCATTAGCGGCGGAGTGCTCCTGCTGATGGATTTCTCCTTTCCTCCTGGGAACCTGGACGCGGGGTCCAAAGGCCCACGGACCTGCCCTTTGCTAATTACAGGGGCTGACTCTAGCTGGCACGGAAGGCAGGACCTGCAGACCTGCCTCCGAGAGCCACACTCTCTCCTTGGGTCTAGCCTGGTCTGGGTCCCCGCCTCGCTGCTGGGCCTCCCTCTGCCTGTCCCCCTCAACAGAACCCAGATGGCTCACACGAGCAAACCCAGAGCAAACCCAGCCACAGAGCTATGGCCCTGGCCTGCTGCGTGGGTGAGGTGAGTTTCCGGAGGTGGAGCTGGTGGGGAAGCATGGTTCGCCCTTCCGTCTCCCCCTGGAGGGGCTGGTTTTCCGTATCCTTCACATCCCAGGTAGAAAGCCCTGGAAGGGATGGGCCATTAGGCTTCAGAGCAGATTGGGGGACACTCAGGAGAAACACGAGGAGTGCTCTTCAAATCATCCTACCAAGCCCGATCCACTTATTGGTTTTTCCAGGGTCTCTCACCAAAATGGAGACCCGCGCCTCGTCCAGTTTGGGAATCAACTCGACGCTGGTTTCATCATAGATTAGCCAAATCAGGTTCGATTCAAGTTTCCTGACCGCCCCGTGCCTCAGTTTCCCTGTCTGTATATCGGAGGGAATAATTGCTTGCAAAACTGCTGGGAGACTATTTTAAGAGACAGTACATGCAACGTGCATGTCTCTGTGCCTGCACACAGAAGGAGCTCAGTAAATGTCTGTTCCCCTTGGCTTCCTTTTATTAGGGTGAAAAGGGTCCCTAAGAGGGACACTGGGGCCAGCTAGGACAGCCACCACGTGAAATACCCCCCTCCCCCAGCCCATCATTCTGATGCAACATGATCCTGCTGCCAAGTGACGTCTGCGTGCTTTGGTCCCATTCCCTGGATAAGGCTTTTGACTTTTCCTAACACCTCTGGGGGCTTCTCGCCACCATGAAAGTTTCCCCTCCGCATCTCCGACCTCCTCCGTCTTGACCCATCATTTAACTGGGGATGAATCCCAGGGAGGTTGGTTGCTAGTATCCAAAGATGAACTTGAACGAACTCGCGGAGTGCAGCTTGCTCAGAACTCAGAACATGGGCCTTCTAGGGCTGCGTCCAGGGAAGTGCAGTCCTTCCTGCCAGCGTTCATTTTCCAACCTTGAGTATTCACGGCTTGCCTCAGTGGACGGTGACATTGACTTTGTCATTAAGAGGCTTAGGATTTACTTGTCTAATATAGGCATTGGCCTGGACTTAGCTTCAAAGACTGGAAACAGGGACAGAAGAGCATCCGGGGACATTAGGGACGTAGAAACCTAACTGGACTCTAACTTGAAGTCGGGCCTCGATCCAGAAGCCTGGTTTCTCCCTGTCCTCCTCCCCCCGCGGAGGCCAGACGAAGATTAGACTGAAGGGCAGAGAACCAGCCAGCCCTTCCATTTATTAGTTGTGTGGCTTTAAGACAAGTCACTTTTTTAAAAAGTGGGGGATGGAGTAGGATCTTTTCTGCCTAAACTCTCAGTGAAAGGTTCAAGTGAGATTGAACCAGTTGTCCTCACAATAGATCCATCTGGGGAGATTTCAAAAGTTCTCATGGCCAGCTACACCCTAAGTCAGAACCTCTGGAGAGGAGGCCC